CAGGGGTTTCGTCGCGAAGTCTAATCAGACGTGGGAGCAGACTGGGAAGCGGTGTGAAAAGATCATGTGCTCCAAGGGTTGGAATAGATCCCAGGCCTGATTTAGTAATTTTAGATTTATTCCAGGGTCAGAGCAGGTGACCTCTTGACATGTGCCCCATTTCTAGCAAATCTAGACTCATCTACTCCAACCCTGGGAATAGATGACGTGTTCGGCCCCAGAATAGCTACCTCTCGGCCAAGTGGAGAGTGAAAGGACATTCCATGAAAGACAAGCATTCACTGTGTGAATTCTCTGAGCTGTAGACCAATGGATGACTTCAGGAAAGTCCAACAACTGTTTGATGCATTTTGTTCTTTAGCTTGAGTTGGAGTGGACCTGACACTTTAATTTTTGGCTGCAATAATCATATCTATGCAAAGAACAAACTAGATCACAAATCCAGTTATATTGTGTCTCTTCTAGTACCGAATGTTTCCAGTGCCTGCAGCACATTCTATTAGGAATCAAGAATGAAGTCTCTTTTTCTGATCCACATCTACCTAGAGAACTGGATAGCAGACTGATAGCAGCGACTACAGTGGAGGCAAAAATTATAGCAGGTCAGTATTTTGCTGTTTTCCCAGGCTCTAGCATTTGCAATCACCCCAAATAAGTTGTAAACATTCAATTTCATGCATTCTGGACCTGACTGGGATCATCTGGGATGTCTATATAGGGCAATTCTTGAAAGACTCGCAGATTGGTAATTTTCTGAAAAATGAGGTCTATGAATGAGAGGTGTAAGAGAATTTCAAGATATTGGTCTGAACAGACCCCTGAATGGGTCCCAGAATCATCTTGGACCATAAAATTCAGGTGGAAATTGAGCCCACAATGAGCGGTGCAAACTGGCCATTTTGGCCTGTTTTAACCAATTTTGGTCTGTTTTACACCAAAATGACCATCTTGTGCAGCTCATTTTGAGCTCAATTATCACCAGAATGTTATGATCCAAGATGATTCCAGGACCTCTTCAGCACCCGTTTCAGACCAGTGTCTCCAAACCTGCTGACACCTCATACTCACAGACCTCATTTTTCAGAAAATCACTGATCTCCGACTTTTTCAAGAATTTCCTCATGCGGTAATTTATGAGTATGCTAGTTAGTACTGAAATACTTACATAAAATTAAATGTCCACAACTTAGTTGGAGTCATTTCATATATTGGAGGCTGAGAAAATAGCTATAATTTTTGCCACCACTGTATGACGGGCAAGTTGTCCTGTTTACGGGAGCTTGTTGAACCACAACATGACCCAATGTGATCACTGCCGAGCACTGCTGAACATCATACTTTTTTTTGGTGTGGCCCTGAATTCTGCAGTTGGCTGTAAAATTAGTAATTCTAGACAATATTGGTCCAGTATCACAGAAAATGAGCTTTATCTGCTGGATGCCATATGCTGACTGAATCCATGACATAGATCGTGGGACCAGCCAAGTCGCTCCCTGATCTAGCTGCCACGTCAGCGCTGAGGCTGTCCCATGTGATTTATCCCCGCTAGGTTCTTTGATGGTAGAGCTCTGAATTTCGCTGCGGTTCTGTTCCAGCAAACGAGCCCCCATGACCGTGGGACTCGTAATGGAGTTTTTGTATAGTCTCATGCTGAAACATACGTTGTGAGGCGTGAAATTTTTTACCACAACATACATTTATTTATTTTCGACCTTTTCAGGCCTACCCCCCTCCGTGGGAATTACCATATTAGGAAAGGTTTTATGATCAAGTACATAAAAACACTTCTGCCTATCTTCTCAAATACTTTTTATGTGTTTGACATCTCCAATTCTTCGGTGCATGCAGAAGAGGTGGATGCAGACACCAGAGGTGAAACTGTGGCAATTTTCTCAGTGTATCACATAGTTGTCCTTGGCAACACTGGCTTCGAAGGTTTCTGTGGTGCCAGAGGTGAGAAGTTGGAAGTTGACAAAAGAACGTCTGAAGACAGATCTCAGCTTAGGAATAGCTTCAATAATATATCTGAAGCAGCCTGATACATAAAAATGACATGTACAAAAAGAAATTTCCGCTTCCGGCGGTGCCCGACTTCCCCGGACAGGGTGTGCGGGATTGCCGGCCCAGTAGCCCCTTGACAAATTCACATTTTGTTGGGATTTTGGAATATATTGGATGAAGAAGAACAGATACAATGTCTTGGTCAGACCTATTCGCGGCCTGCGAACAGACCAGACTAGGTCACATCATTGTCACATGTGATTTCGGCTTAAAATCATAGAGATTTTCAGCGGTCAGTCAACTCGAGCTCTGAAACATGCTTTAGACTTTGAACGGACTCTTTTATCATACATCTGTTCACTCTTCAAGAGCTCGCTGAGCCCTGTATTCAGCTACGCGACCCTCAACACGTCATGTGTTAGATTTTGGAATCCGTGAGAATAGGCGGCTGTCCAGTTGTTGTTTGAGCCCATGTTTTCTAGATCATATGCGGAAGGACTTTCCTAGCGGAATGTCCAATTGACCAAAGCGGGTGGGTCTTCATTGTCTCTGTTTCCCGCTTCCACAACCGGTCTCTATCAGCCCTCTCCTCATCGTCATGAGAGATTTCACTCTGACCGTTAGTTAACCTTTGAATGGCTTTGATGCTTAGTCGAGTCGTGGACTTGGTGGGTTCTAGTTGGAAGTGACATAGAATAAAACAAACAGGGACTCGTCGCTGCCGCCGCAGAACGGCCTTTAACCCACTCATCAGGATTTGGGTTTTTGGGTTGGCTAATTGATTGTATCATAAATATATATTATCACAACAGCTGACAAGTTATGAAACTCTCAGAGTGGCAGGAGGAGTCATATACACTGTCAAGACCGGGTTGGGTCTAGTGGCATTCTAACCAGAGAATGAATCATCATGGGTGTCGGATGATCCCGATCCGATCGGGATGGTCCTTTATATATTCATATCTCCTCTGTTCATCCTCTTGTTTTCCAACCTCCCATGATTCCAACTCCACATGATGTTTCACCCACAAATCACCTTGCTGAAGGGATGTAAGTGAATCACTGACATATCAAATACTACTCACTAACTCAGGATCTGCAGATATGGACCTATGCTGGTCGGAGTATTCTTTAGCACAGTACTGTATGGGGTCTGTCACACATTTGGTTCTGAGGCCGCCATTAGATTAACAGTCATTTTTCTCAGGTAAATATTGTTCAGGTAAAATTCCTGTTGTCTGGAGGGTCAAAAAGAGCACTGAGAAATGCTGCAGATGTTTACCTACCACGAGACATCATCAAAGAGGTATGTTTCCTTCAGCTAGCCGTACCAGTCCTTCTAACTAGTCATTATAAAGAGACTCTGCTTGGACTCGGGGGCTGGTTTGTGTCTAAACAGATGCGGGAGTCTACACTAATGTTCTGAAAGGTTCTATGTTTATTTCTATGCATCACCCTCAAGACTGCATTCAACATGGTTGCTGTATATTAACCTCTTGTCCAGCAATTTGGTAGGTCCACCCTATCCGTGACTGGCGGCACCCTTTGTTTACAGATACTGATCTAGGCCACCTACACCCTGAGCTACCATTTTGTAAGCTGGGTATGATTCCGGTTGATTTCTCACTGACTTGACCTAGATCTACGATCAGGTTTGTGTATTAGCACAGTTGTTTTCTATGTTCAGGGTTAATAACACCACCTTGACAGACCCAGTCATGACAGTAAGTCTATCCCTGGTAATGTAAAATTACGTTTGACTATTGCAACAGGGGATTATATCAACGCCGGTTCAACTATTGATGGCCTGGCGAATCATGGTTGTAACAGAAACTAGGCTGTGGACCTGTATCATTGTGGCCATAGCCATGCTTGCATTTGGTATGTGCCAGTGATATTAAAGCTGCAGGCCCTCATGGTTCAGGTGCATCAATCTGGACAACCATCGAGGTCTCATCCAAACCTGCATTCTCGCAATTTACTGAGTTCCGCATTGCTCCCATCACAGGGCTGGCATCGTCTGCTACTGCCGATCTCATAATCACTGGGGTTTTGGTTTATTCACTGGTAGGTACTCAATCAATGACCTTGTTAATATTTGACATTCTACTGGCCCAAAAAAGCATGTCAGAAAGAGTGGTTATAATACCTCCCTGGACACATATATGAACCACATCATCCGCTGTATGATCTATTTCCTGTCCGATGCATGCAAATCTTGACAGTGGACTAGTGACTGTTCAAACTGGTGCATTGTCAGCCATATTTGCCTTTTCTGAGGCACTGGTGTTTGTAATTCTGAAGGTCTTGTTTCCTCTGGCTTCTAGTCCCACCTGATTGATCTTGAGATAGGACACCACAATGTGAGCTCAGGATTATATAGTTGCCCATGTGCATAGGCTAATCACCCAACAGCTCCTTTTCTTGGGTTTTGGCACTCTCAAATCTCTATTTCAGCACAATACTCAGCTTGTATATCTATTTTGCCACTTGACAGTCATTTTCACTGATCATTCTACAGACTCAATGCACGTGATTCATGGACGAATAGAGGCAATGTACTGTTGCCAGCATCTTCCAATGATGTTCACTCTCAGAGTAGATCAGTATGTGCATTTTCCACAGTTTGTCTTGCTTGAGCTAATAGCTGTCCAATCTTTTCTAGAACTTTTGGGGGAGTACGGCCCCACAGAATCCGGCTCACTTTGATATAGAAATGCGGTCTGAGTTGAATGGTGAGATGGGAGTCCAGAGAAATGATTTGGCAAAGGAAGCATGGCCAGTGGGTCCAAAATTACCCATGCCCCACAAATAAGCCTCTTCAGAGCTCCACTTGTGTTGTGTTGACATAGTAGCCATGATTAGCTAGGAGTGTTTTTCTTGGTGCATATTCTTAAAATGGAGAATAATTTATCATGTATTGTCACAGTCCCTCATTGTCATAAAGCTTCTGATTTGAAAACTATCGCATTGTTGGACTTGGGGCCACACTTGATAATGGGTTGATGGTGCAATGGTTAGCACACTCATGTTTGAGATCAAAGACTTGAAAGATCTGTGGTTTGAATCCCAGTCTATCCAGCTTTTATCATTATGACATTATGCCTTGAACTCAACACGCATACCATCGGCTTCTTCTGGGATTTCATAATGTGTGAGTTGTCACACTAAGTCCTTCCTCCTTGTTTTCCGCTGCTGTTCGGCCTCTTGTCATCTTCTAGAGAAACAACTTGATTTCTTTGTAATATTCATTGTACTACCATTCAACTATCACTGGGTGAAAAACATGGAATCTGAACAGTGAACAGCTGTTAGAACTTAAACTTAAACTCTACTTCTCAGTGTCGTATGCGACGACGAACAACGGTAAGAAGTTGCACTGAGGTTCTTTTCGAGCAAGATTGTGGGTAGAGAAACGAGATTGAAAGACTAGAGAATACAACAATATTCTAACTACTTAAATACTCGTAAACATGAGACTACTGTTCGTTTTCCACAATGCAAAACATCCTACAACCATGCTTTAAGCAACCTGTTCTCATGCCTTCTTTATTAAGTGCCTTCAGGTTTCCATGCCTGTTTCCTGTTTCACTACAATGCGCTAGTTGTCTGTTCGCCATGTGTTATAGTGTCCAAATGCCTTGAGGCTTTAATCTCCGCGCCTCATGTTGTCCTATGACCTTTGTGCTGGATCAAGCATGTAGTGCTTCTATTCCTTATCTTATCATCACATGTCCTTCCGATAATTGATCCTTTCGAATCAGTCTAAGTCCTCGTTATCTTGACATATGTCATTCGTTGCTGCTTTATGAACTAAGTCCAACAACGTTGGCTGTTTTGCTAACGTCTGAACGATGACAGAAACCTCAGGTTCTGACATTACCCCCCCTTCAAGGTCAACGTCCTCATTGACTAGAGTTGTGTTTTCTGCTGTTTTTCTGATGTTTATGTCTTTATCTCGTAAATTTTCGTCCATAATTATAATGTTTTCTCCTGTTGTCCAGTTGAAGAGTTTCCTTTCTGGGTAAGACTGAGATTCTTCTTTGGTCTTGTATCTTTTAACCAAATAATCCCAATGTCCTAAAGGGAGAACTGGGACCGGTACCGAAACAGAAGTCGTGTTGATGTTGTTCTTCTGTTTGTATTCGGCAAGAATTTCGGCAGCGTTTGGTAAGATGTTACGCTCCGGTTCCCACGTGTTCTCAGACATCGGATAGTCCTTCCATTTGATCAGGTACTGATAACCCTGACCACGTTTCCGAGATTTGACAATCTCTTCAACTTCGTACTCCTCTTCTCCATCAATGATAACAGGGTTTGGTCGTAATTCTCTCCAGTGTGGTGGAGGCTCCTTGTATGGAGTCAAGAGTGACTCATGGTATACAGGATAGCGCTTGTCCATCCCTGGGATCTTTAACTTGTAAGAAGCTTTCCCTCGCTTTTCTAGGATTTCATACGGTCCTAACCGTTTGTCACTAAGTTTTTTAGAGGGTCTATCGATGTTAACATCTTTAGCCTCAACGTAAACTTTGTCTCCAATATTAAACTCCGGTGCCGGCCGGTGACTCTTATCATAGTATTTTTTCATATTTTTCTGTGCTTTTTCAAGCGCTGCTGTCGCCTCATCTCGGATCTTTTTCATCCTGGATGCAAACTCCTCTGCTGACTCATTGCGTGAGCCTGCAGCCCCTTCGATCCCTTTCCATGGGTGATAACCATGATCGGCGAAGAATGGTGACATCCTTGTGGATGCATTGACTTTGTCGTTGTAACTGAACTCTGCCAATGCGAGCCATTCAGCCCAGTCTGATTGGTGCCAATTGATATAAATCTGGAGGTATTTTTCGATTTCCTGATTCATTCGTTCAGTTTGACCATCTGTCTGAGGACGGAATGCTGTACTCGGGTTCATTTCAATTCCGAGTAGCCGATTGAGTTCTCGCATGAACTTGGAGACATATCGGGGATCACGGTCTGAAATTATCTTTTGGGGAACTCCGTGGTATCTGATCACCCTGTCTCGTGTTAACCTTGCGATTCCCTCGCTGGTAACCTCCATATTGGTAGGTTCGACGTGAATAGATTTGGTAAAGGTGTCTACCCACACCTGTATGGCATCAAAGCCATTGCTCTCTGGGAGGGGTCCGATTAGGTCCATTGATATCGTCTCCCAAGGTCCTGCAGCTATTTTGTGTGGGTTAAGCTGTCCCGTCTTTGACCTCTTCGCTTTCACCCGTTGGCAAGGTTCACAGGTTTCGCAGAACTTTTTGATTTGATTTCCCATGCGGGGCCACCAAAAGTTTCTCTCAATAAGTTCTTGTGTGCGTAACTCTCCTGGATGACCTGATAGCGGTTTGTCATGATGGAGCATGATGATCTGCTCCCTCAGTTCGTCACTCCTGGGAACATAGATGAGTTCCTTGTAGAAGATCAGATCTCCTTCTCACTTCCACCCTGGTAAGGACTTTTCTAACACGAGTTTGACACTGGTATCTATCTTTCGCATAGTTTTGATCTTGTCGATCAATTCCTTGTCAAAGGCCTCGATTTCAAATTCCGTGGCTCAGAAATATTCCGGTTTTAGTAACACCATGTTTTCGTTGTCGTTGCTTCCTTGGTCATGATCTGCACACCTTGACAATAAGTCGGCCTTTTTGTTTAGGGCCCCGGGTCTGTGGGTGAGTTTGAAGTTGTACTGAGACAATTCCCCGATCCAACGCGCCTGTCGGCGATTTAGTTTCTGAGGTTGTTTGAAATATTCAAGATTCTCGTGATCTGTAAGAATCTCAAACGTCTCATCTGCCCCCATAAGGATGGCACACCATTCCTCAAGCGCAAGCATGATTGCGAGCATCTCTTTGTCGTAGATCTCGTAATTCCTTTCGGTCGCTGATAATCCATGTGACATGAATGCCACAGGTCGCCATTGACCTTCCTGTTCTTGACTAAGAACAGCGCCTATCGCTCCCTCTGATGTGTCTGCCTCCACGCGGAACTTTCCATGATCTTCAGGAAGTGCTAGTACTGCATCTTCCTTAATCCGATCTTTAATTTTCTGGAAAGCCACACTTTGGTCATGACCCCAAGAGAAGCCGGCTTTTCCCGTCAACTGCGTCAGTGGCTTCGCCACCTCGCTGTACCCACGCACAAACCGACGGTAAAAGTTTGTGAAGCCCAGGAATGCCTGGACTTGTTTCACGGTCCTTGGTTCGGGCCATTCCATTACGCCCTTAATCTTTACTGGGTCCATCTTCATGGAATTGTGCAAGATGAGCACCCCCAAGTATTCTATCTCAGTGCTTTCGAAATCACACTTTTCGGGTTTGAGATATAACTTGTGTTGTTGGAGTACCCCCAATACACGTTTGACTATTTTCCGATGTTCCTCCATTGTTTCTGTAAAGATTAAAATGTCATCTAGATACACAATGACATGTCCCTCATTGATGAGTTCTTGTAAAATATCATTCATCATATTTTGGAACGTGGCGGGCGAATTCGTAAGCCCGAAAAACATGACAAGAGGTTCAAACAATCCCCGGTTGGTTCTGAATGCTGCTTTCCATTCATCACCTTCTTTGATCCGGACATTGTTGTATCCCCATCGAATGTCAAGTTTTGTAAAAATCTTCGCTCCCCGAAGCGTGTTGACTAACTCCGAGATAAGCGGCAAGGGATAATGATTTTTAATCGTCATGTCATTCAACTTCCGATAATCTTGTACCGGTCGAAGAGATCCGTCTTTCTTTTTGATAAAGAAGAATGCGGAGGCCATCGGTGACTTTGACGGTCTTATCCTTCCGCTTTGTAAGTTCTCCTCCAGGAATTCGTTCAGCTTTTCCTGTTCAATCCGAGATAACGGGTAGATTTTACAATCTACAGCTTTGGAACCAGGTTTAAGTTCTATAGCATGGTCCCACGGTCTCTTTTTGGGTAAAGAGTCGAATGACTCCTTCGCAAAGACTTTGACAAATTCCCGATATTGTTCAGGGATCTTATCCTCGGTCATGTGCTCTTTGCTCTTGGATGCCTCTTCGGCCATCTCCTGAGCCTGTGTCGATTTTGCACGCAGGTTGACATGTTCTGCAAAATCTACAAGGAGAATAGTTTCTCCTTCTTTGAGTGGTGCGTCTTCTCCCACTCCGGTCCAGAATTCCATACCCTTCATCCCACATTCGTTGGGACAACGACTGAACGTAATTTTCTGGGCACCCCAGTTAATCTCCGGATTGTGTTTGTTTAGCCAATCATAGCCAATGAACACTCACGTTTTTCCTAATCCGGTGACCAGAAGTTTGAGCTTCTCCTGGTGGGCTCCCACGCTCATGAGGCACTCTACGTAATGAGTGATTTTCCCATTTGCGTTTTCAGTGTTATCCGCATTGAACGCTGTGATAGGCGCTGGAAGCGGTTTCATTTCAAAACCCTCAGCTCAAGCGTATTCTCTGTCGATACTTGTGGTGGAACAACCACTATCTAAGAGTGCCTTGACTGCACGGGTTTTTCCGGTTTCAAGCTGGGTGAGCTTAATCGGGACAAGCATCTCATGATGATGCAGATGCTTCTCTCGCTCCTTAATTAGATTTTGGAGTTCTTTCGAGAGTAAGTCCGGCTTGGGCTTCCCTTGCTTTTCGGCACTTCGGCGCCTCTGGGCGGCATCCGAGATGGGACTCCTCTTAGGCGCTTCCTCTGACTTAACAGATTGAGCCTCTGCAGCAGCGCTGCCCTTTTTTGTCTTTGTTGATGAGGTTTTCTCTCCCTGAGCCTTTTTAAATACTTTCTTGAATGCACCCCACTCTTCATTTCGAGCATTGGTGCGCCGATTCTTTTCCTTAGTAATAAACTTTTTCTTTAAAATAACAACTCGGTCTTTTGCTTTCGCAGCTTCGGCAGATAAGAAATCGTGTATATTTTTATGAAGAGAACTATCTTGTACATAAAAGGTATCCTCGGTCTGGGTCTTTTCTGCTACAGATCCGAGTACTTCAAAACGTCCATAATTATTAGAAACCAAGGCCGGCGTCTGTTTGGCTAGAACAGGCGGCCCCTTTAAAAACCCTTCTCGCGGAGGTATGCCGCGA